AGGTCAAGTAAAATAATAGTGTAACTTATTACAATATTTATTAACTACTTTTTTAATTCAGGCCTTCAAGTCCGTGGCTTACTCGACTTAAGTAGTACGAATCTTATTAACCTTTTGACCGCTACTGACGTATAAAAACATACCAAAATTCCTCCGGAGCGGTTTCGATGAGGTGACATTCTTCTTCAACTTTTTAAAGTCAAACAAAGACGTTGAAAAAAGGCGTACGTAATGTTTATCGCTTCTCGGCCTTTTAGCTAAGATCAAAGTGTGTGTAATGCTAATGTCACTTAAAAATGATTGAAGTATCAAAATGTCAGTGGTTTATTTATGTATGCGTGTGAACTAATGATACCAGACATAAGAAAATTACCCAAATTTTAAAATAATTTGAATATTTTTGAGGTTTTGAGACTTATTTTATGTGCTGCTTTTTACCATGATTATTGGTATTTAAGGAATATTTAATTCAAATTATTCAACCGGGGCACTAAATTCAGGAAGTTAGTTATGCATTGTTATAATATGATTTATAGCTAATTAGCTACACAGTTTATTTATTCTTAGTTATTTTTAAAAATAAGTAATAAAGCACAATACATATAAAATGTTTATTATTATTGACATCATTTAATCTTATTAATTGGACAATTTTTATAACAACATTTGCAACTCTTTTATTTTTATTTGTATCCAATAATTCTTCCATGTATTATTTGCAGCGGAAAGTCTATCAAACATAAAATAATGATATAAATTAAATGGAGATATATATACCTACTTCAAAACACTTAATAACAGGCGACAGATGTCCTTCGTATCAATGCGTGTGAGTCTATAGTAGGCTGGTGCCACACTCGTTGTTTCAAAAGACTGTGTCCGCCTCTTCTTCAACGTCCTTTAAATCAAATAATGTAATTATAAAAAAAATTGTGTGTTTTTAATATTCTTAAACTTAAGGGGGCATGATAATATAATTTTTGAATTGGGGAGGCTCAGTGAAATAATGGTTGGGAAACCCTGGCCTAAGCAAAGATAGGTGGTAGTTAACGACATTTTGGTTTTACCCATGGGCTTAGATCGATGCTTCCTCACGCTAAGAAACTTAGTTAATAGATGGTTTAGGTGTAGTTGGTGAAAACGGCAATCAAAAGCCCATTTTTATAAAACGAACAACAGGAGTTTAGAATGTAATTCGGTTACAATTAAAAACAAAGAGTCCCATACAGGTATTTGTAGATATTTGTGTTTTAAGGATCTAATAAGAGAAGAAATATGTTTCTACACTTGAAAACCATTAATTACTTTCACATTTAGGTAAATATGCTAGTTTTATTTTAATTATTAAATATTAATGAGATACTTGAGCTTGCATCTTCTGTACCAGTATGTCGATTCTGGGTTCAGTCTTTGTTAGAGCAATGGTTAAATCGCTATCGACGGCAAGACGATTTCGCTGCTTCGTTATTATTAAAACCAAAGCTGAAAAACCTTTCTCACATAAATATGTGGTCGAAAATGGAATAATTATTCTTAAAGCAAGTGAAGCAATTTTGGGATTAACAAGAAATCGTTTGACCCAAAATTTCTCTAATGTCAGGAGATGGAAGTCATCTTTCATGGTCGAGTCAGCCTTCATTTCTAAAAACTCTTCCTGAATATCTTCAGGCAAATCTGAGACCTCGACAACAAATGGGTTTCTGGTCATGCGCCATATTGGTGACTCGGAATTAACATCTCGATAGTACCGATGAAATTCGTTTTCCAATGCTTTTGATGAGTTTCTATTTCAAATTTCAAATCATTATCCAGGAGGTCTACTCTGATTCGACGAAAAACGAAGTTTCGGACGAAACTTTAAAGATTACCTACCACAATGACATATAAACGAACGAAAAAGGAATGAAACAAGCCAGAAATTAGTATGAGATGTACTGTTTGACGTCGATATTTTCGGAACCCTACTCTAATTGTACAATCCGCACGAACGAAAATTCGAGTTTGACATATTATTCTTCGGACGTTTAATGTCATTTCGACGAAACCAAAATAGTTATCGTTTGATTTTCGTTTGGGTTAAATTTTATTAAAAAATTAATGGAAGTAATTGCAAGTCTTCATTTTATCACGGTTTCTTCGTGTGGGCAACACGTAGGTCAGCAAAGAAACCACTTAACTCGTCGAGTACCGGTTTTATAGACACAATTAAAGAACAATAGGTCGCGGTTACCGGTGACCGCTTGGTGTTTGACAGTTTAAATGACGATATAAAATCAATGTACAGTCAGCTCAAATAGTTTGTTAACACGAACCTATATATTTTATATGTCTACGAGAGTTAGTAACATTTAGGGTAATCAAATACTTATTTGAATACCTTATGTATTGTATAATCTTAAGTATTGCTAGTACATATTTTCGCTATTCTTTCATATCTATTAATATAACAACATTTATAGATAAGATAATTTAAAAAAAAATATATATATAGTTAACCATCATAACATGAAAAAATTTATTGTCTTCAAATTCTCATGTAGATATTTAAAATTTTTAACTGACTATACTAGTATAATACGAATAAATTTGGTTGTCATTATTTTATAAATAAATGTCAATAAATGACAATGCCAACATTCTTTAACTTTTTAACTTGGTCGTATAATAAATCTCTGAAAGGAGGTTTTTATCCTGTTTAATATTTTCCATCATAAGGTCCAGTTTCACCAAACTGTGTTTGTTAAATCCTAATTAGTCATTAACTAATGAGTTGTTAATAATTAACGGGCTGTTATATCATTGTATGTCCCACGAGAAAAAAGTAACAAGCCGTTATTAAACTGTATATTTAACTGAACGACTTGTAAGTTGTTCACTCTTATTTTAAGCAACCAAATTGAAATGGTTTTTTGTGACATGTTATTTAGACCGAGTTCGGTAATATTTTATCTAGTCGTATAATGCGTCATTAGTTGTGCTACGCGACCAATTTCAAACGAGTTCAATTTCAATTTCAAATTTAAAAACTCAACTGAGTTTTTCTCTTATTTCTTCCTCAGTATTAGGGAATTGGATAAATTTGGGGCTAAGGGAGGCTATTGCAGCAGTGACCCTGTGTATTATTCTATGAGATGACGACTTACTTATCCCACAATAATCTCCCACTGTTATTTGTTGAGAGCCAGTTGCATAATACCTCAAGGTCAAAAGAATTTGATTAATGGGAGAAATTGATTCATTCCTGAAACAAAGTAAGGATAAGGGGTCCCTTATAAACATAAGGGTAAAGATAAGGCCCTCAGGGAAGTGATCGGCGATGGCGACCTCTCGCGTCCGGGCCTAGTGCAGGCCATGATGCGGAGCGAGGGGGACTGGGATGCCGTCTCCTCCTTTTGCGAAGCAGTAATGCTAGCTAAGGAGGAGGCGGGACGCGTGAGGCAGCGAGGCGCTGCCTCCTCGCAACCCAGCCATCGCGAAGGACACACCGGGCGTCGGGGACCGCGGGACGATCTCCGGCCACCGTAAGCGCGGGCCTGCGGACGGCGAGCATCGGTGGCTCCCCGTCCGACCAGAAACAGACCCAAGCGTACGGCGCGTCGCGTTCCGCGCGCGCCTCAAAGAGCCATCAGACCACCACAGATGGGGCCCAATAGGGCCGATGCCGATTCGGAGTCGCGGAGAACCTAACGGGTAACCGGGGCTCCGGCTCGACGTGCAGGAGAAGGAACGGGGTGGTTTTTAGTCAGTAAGAGTCTGACACTCCCTTCCGCCTCACCCAGGCGGGAGCAGCCATTCGATGATTTTCCCCCCTTAAAAAAAAAAAAGGGTTGTTTCTTTAGATAAACGGAATCTGGTACAAAAATCTACATCGTCGTATTCGTCGAAATAAGAACGCCGTTCTTTAAAAATTCTTGGACGTCGTACTATTGTGTCTAAGTAATCTAAATAATCTAAAATATTATTTTCGAATATGAAATTGTATGCAGCCTCCATCTCGATTTTAATTGTCTGTTACGGTCTAACGGACGTCTAGAGCGATGATTAAATTTAACAGCTTGTTATGACAAATAAAAGCGCGATAACTCGTGGTGGGACACTCGATAACTTTAACAGCCCGTTAACTGACTTAACAATACTTTAAATATTTAACAGGGGATGGTGAAACTGGACCTAAATATTATTATTAAAAAGCTTATTCATGATTTTCTTGATGATTATGTGTGCTAAGTCATGGCATTATGGTTTTAATTATATAATTATTTAAAATAAAATTTTATTTTTAATTTCGAATCTAAACCTTTTTATTGCCTATTTATTTAGCTTCACTTCATTCGTTCATTGTAGTTCACGAAAGTTTTCTATGGTTCCGAAAACGTTGTTTGCGGCCGCAAATCAAACGAAACTTCGCATTCGAGAACCGGAGTAGACCTCCAGTTTTTGATCATTAATCGCTTCGGATAGCCGTGAAACTTTTTGTCTTTGATTTGATTCTTTTCATACAAGCCAGCGTTTTGTGTGTATAAATTAAACGTACCGATTACGCCCCCCCTGGTTTTCCCATGCCCCCCTGGTTGGGAACTCCTGGCTTAGGCATTCTTTAAAATTTAAGAGAGGTTGGTGGAAACGAGCGTTACTGACATTACACCTCTGAGGTACCGTTCTGCCACGCGACGTGTTACAGGAACGAACTGGAGACGGGTCACTTCCGTTAGTTTTTCATTGCTCGTCTTCTCACCTTTACCTGCTAGTGTGCTACTACTACTAATATTAGTATTGACTCCGAAAATATGTTTTTTTATTGGTTTTTGATTTATCCTATAATTAATAGATAAACAGTAAACCATTGAGAAAGGTACAAGGTACTTTCTTCTAGCATTATTAGCTTTGCAATTACTTACATTTGCAAGTACTACGTTAGTTCAGTTTAACTCTAAGGTTACCTTTAGAAGCTACTTTTATTGTCATTAACAAGTGTTAAAATTACGTTTTCCTTTTTACAGTGGCGGAGAAGATAGTTCAAGCAATACGTGCCCAATTGCTGCCACTGCTGCGGCGCCAGCTACGTGGCGTGGTACAAATGACAGCGCCACCGAGTATTGCCGCCGTGGTAACACGCCCGCCGCGTACGGCAGGTACCAGCGCAACAACTCAACTGCACCTTATTCCACACCACCCTCTAATGTTGAAAGGTATTTATTAATTTTTTAAAAATACCAAGGCTTGGGCTGAGGATCTTCCCAATCATCCAAATAACAATAAAGAAAATATCAAATTATTGCATCCATATAATAAAGGATTTTAATTGTCATTCACTATAAATGCATAATTAATTAATATTTATGGTGAATATTTGTATTTTATTAATATTATATATATATTATATTTGTATTTTGTATTGGGAAAATAAAAATGGATGTACTTTGAGGATGCAGTATACAATTAAAATAAATATTTTAGTAGTCAATGAAAGCCGTAAGTGAATAGCAATTACTCGCAATGTGGGATTAGATGACAGTTAAGTTATGAACCTAATAAAGATTAACATTTTGTTTTCATATAATCCTCTGAAATTCATAATAATAACACTGGTCAACAAAATTCAAACTTTTTCGTGCCACACGGACTTTTTTGATATTTTTTACTTTAGTTGGTGATTGTAAGAAAAGATAAACAGTTAAAAAAATTTGCTAGCCAAGGATTTTATTCTATTGAGTAATTAAAAATATTAAGAAAAAATACAGATCTCGTAAATCAAACTTTTTTTTTATATAAATTACTTAATAATTTAAGATTTTCTTGAATGTTTAGCTTCTGGTTGGTCCCTTTTAATTGTCCAGCAGTAATCCGCTAACATATTTGGGCTCCATTTTCCCTGGTACCGCTTTTCCATACTAGAAATGTCCTGGTGGAACCTCTCGCCGTGCTCGTCACTGACAGCCCCTAAATTGTCAGGAAAAAAATCCAGGTGCGAGTCTAAAAAATGGATCTTGAGTGACATGTTGCAACCCAATGCTTGATATGACAATAAGAGCTCGCTAACCAACTCTCTGTAGATGTCACTCTTGTGGTTGCCCAAAAAATTTGCAACAACATTTTTAAATGCGTTCCATGCACATTTTTCTTAACCGCTTAATTTTTCTTCAAATGTTGAATCTTTATTAACTCCCTGATTTGAGGGCCAACAAAAATACCCTCTTTTATTTTTGCATCACTTATTTTAGGGAATTTTTCTTTTAGGTACAAAAATCCACTCCCACTGCGATCCATTCCCTTCACAAAATTTTTTTTAATCCTAATTTGATATGCAATGGTGGTAAAAGCACATTATTTGGCTCTACAAGGGGTAAATACTTTACATTTTTTTGGCCAGGAACTAACGACGCACGCATAGGCCATGTTTTTTTTATATAGTGATTAGTTCTGTCTCGGCTATCCCATTCACATAAAAAACAGCAAAATTTTGTATAACCCAGCTGAAGTCCAAGTAATAATGCAACAACTTTAAGATCACCGCAGATTTTGAAGGAATATGTACTGTAATTTATTTTTTCAAGTAAAACTTTCATATTTTCATAGGTTTCTTTCATATTTGAAGCATGGGCCACAGGAACAGACGGAAGCATATTTCCATTATGCAATAAAACTGCTTTTAGACTTGCCTTCGAAGAATCAATAAATAAACGCCACTGAGAGATTTCAAAATCTATGTCCAACATTTTCATGATCTCATTTATGTTATTGCAAAACACCAAATCTCCATCCTGAGAAAAATACGTTCTGAAGTGTTCATCACGGTTTCGAAAATAGCTAACTTTTGTATTATGTTGTAGCAAATTCCATTCTTTTAGCCGAGATCCTAATAGTTCCGACTGCTTTTTTGACAAATTTAAATCCCTAACCAAATCATTTAGGTCTCCTTGAGTTATCAAATGTGGCTCCTTTTCAATTCCTTCAAACTCAAAGTCATCATTCTCGTCAAAAGACCGACTTGAAGTAGACGGTTGTGAATGGTCGTTATCAACAGGCGTTGTTGCAACTGGTATTAGTTCTGGCATTTTTTTACAATGAGAGACTGGTCTTACAGAAGATACGTTAGGGTAGATAACTGTTTTTTTTTTCTTGTAATTTATACCTTTTAAACTGTCAAACACCAAGCGGTCACCGGTGACCGCGACCTATTGTTCTTTAATTGTGTCTATAAAACCGGTACTCGACGAGTTAAGTCAGTGAGACAAAAATAGCAATCCGAAACGTGATCTCGCTGTTCAGTCCATATCATGGGTACAGCAAAAGGCATAGCTCGTGCACCTTTCTTCCAGTCGGTTAAATTTTTCACACACGTTATGCAACAGACATGAGGGGCCCAGAATTTGTCTTGATGGGCGACAGAAAAACCAAAACATTGGTGATAACACTCCAGCACAAGATTCGTAAAATTTCGTCGTTGTTTTTTGAATGTAAGTTCTCCGCAGATATAACAAAAAGAGTTAGGGTTATTTTTACGCTTCCTCGACATGTTCACAGGATTAATAAATCACAAAAAATATTCAAATTGAACTACAAATACTTTTATGACGATTTACTTGTGAGCGTTTCTGTTAATTTACCGCCGTAGTACTAGTTATGAGTATTACCGTATCACAACAAATATGAGGCTAACAGACAAATGAAAACTGTGATTTAATGATGAGGGTAGATTGATAAAACAAAATTAGCTATCAAAGTTCGTGTGGCAAAATCAGTGTTGACCAGTGTAATATGCAAAACGTGAGGACAATTCCGTGAATGAATATGACATAATATAATAGATATAAATTAACTGATTTTAAAATCTTGAATCTGTATGGCTATTGTGATATAAAATAATTTTCTCATGTCAACACTTGACAAAAGACTAATTACTAGTTATCTAGACATTTGTATCCACATGTATCTCTAAAAGAGCTGTGATTTCACTCCATATGGATGTGAAAAGAGATCATCACAGTTGATAGTTATACAGCTTTTAGCATTGCGGGGAAATTGAACAACAAGAACTACAGAACTTAATTGTCAATGTCACGTTTTGCATATTTAATTCTCTACAGTGTTTGGACAATCATGCATGATAAAAAATATGAAGTAACTTTTTGGCATTATGCTTGTACCTATTTAACTCATTCTCTAATATGTTTGTATCATGCACGTGTATGTTATGTAGTTTTATGTACATTTATACATGCCATTTAAACAGCACCATTTATTACCCTTGAGTTTTATATAATTTACACATTTAATGTACCTGAAACATTTCCTTTGCTTTTGTAAAAATGGTTAATAAATCTCTGCATTTTATTTATCCCTTGCATACATTTATTCCATCCATCTGTATGTATCATTTTTAATGTTAAGAAAATAAAAATACATCTAAAAATGTACAGTGTTTTAAAATCAGTATAATACTATGTTGCTTATAAACTTCTTCAGCCACAATGGTTATGTTTTTTCTGGCATTAATTTTCTTATTGTATGATATTCATTCTTGTAATATTTATAGGTGTCAAATCAAGAGCTAATGGAATGTGGTGTCCAATTAATTGTAATATTTGGTTTTTTATATTGTATATTAACTTTCTGAATCTATGTTATCGAAAATATTAAAAAGCTGCAATAATAGATAACTACACCATATCAAAGCCATTTCCAGTTCAATGTATTCCCATAATTGTACTCTAATCTGTAAAATATGAATTTCAGAACAACTCCACATCACCGATGGTACGCAAATAGCGATCGAGTTGCTGGTGCGACAGGCGGTGAAAGTACACCTAGTACTCCAGGTGGCGGGACCGAAGGAGGACGTCGGCGCCGTAACTCTGGCTCCGGCTCGTCACGATCTGACTCGAGTTCTCCCGAACCGAGCGATACTTCAAGAGCTTCGACGCCAGCCGCACAACCATCACTCTCTCACCATACCAACCATCGGACGCCGCCATCGTTACAACACCAAGTATGTCCCTAAAATAATGCCTTTGTATTGATTACCCACCTAGTCTACATTATATGGTTTTGAAGAAAGAATTACTGAATTTTGTTATTATTAATTGAAGTAAGATTGCTTAAATTCAGAACCTTCAAAGGCTCGGTCCTATTTTTAGAGAAAGTTTTAGCTAATAAATAGTACTAGTAACTATTGATATATACGTGTACGCTCTCCATTTAAGATAATATTCCTCAAATACTAATACGATTTTAGTAATATATAGCCATCGCAATCGATATTTTTTTAAATAGGTAGTTGAGTTTCGATCAGTAAAATAGATGTCATGTTTACACAGTAATGAAGTTGTATTTTATTCGCATTTTCGTTTATTTTTATTGATAAGAAACTAAACCTTCTGTTGTTTAATTCTCCTTCTAGCAAATATACATAATATTATTGGTAGCTGTAACATAATAATAACATGTTGACGTATGATAACTAGTGCATTTATGTGTTTCACATTATGTGAGATTTTGTCAATCTTCGTCGTATACTTGAGTCACTTGCGTATTACTATTATTGTTCATCACAAAGAAGATTTCACTGTTGTGATTTAAGCTATGGTAGAAGATAATACTAGACATTAGTCGTACCTAAAACTTTGACCTAAAGTTATTTAAGTTAATAAGTAGTGACAAATGTATAGATACGACATAGCGCTGGGCTGAATGAAATAGTGATGAATGAATAAATAATAATGAATGTTGCTGCTCACAAAATATTGTTTTCAATCAAACGTCGCCGAACTGCTAACATGTTTATCGACTACTATAACTATATATTGTTTAAATAATAATAATATAATAATAATATGGTAAATATGATCAGCTTGACCAAGCAGCATTCCTAAATTTATTAAATTTTATTAAAATTAATGTAATAATAAATAATACATAAAGTTTCAAATAACATTTTCATATTTTTGTCTTAATAGTGGGCGTCGACGGCGAGTGGTAGACCTTTGGCTATCTGTGTGCGAAATCTACCGACACGATCTACCGATAGTTCTTTGAAGGACGGCCTTTACCATGAATACAAGAAACATGGAAAAGTTGTATGGGTTAAAGTAGTTGGTCAAAACGCCGATCGTTATGCGGTGGTGCGATTTAAAAAGCCATCCGATGTGGAGAAGGCCTTGGAAGTATCACAAGATAAACTTTTTTTTGGCTGTAAGATCTCTGTGGCGCCTCATCAAAGCTGTGATGAAGATGCAGATTCGGCTAAACCTTACGAGACTGATATCGATGAGTACCACCCTAAGGTAAGATATTTACATTTTGTGTTTTTTCATTAAAACATTAAAAATAAACATACTTAAATAAGTTCTATTTATGTTAAATATTAGATCGATTAAAATATGTTTTCATGAAACAATTTGTCTATAGAAATATAAATTGACTTAAACTGTCGAAACACCGCGAGGACACCGGTGACCGCAACCTATTGTTCTTTGTCTATAATGACGGTACTCAAAGGGTTAATGGTGAATCAGTAATAATATATAAAAAAACGTGAAATGGTTGTTAATATTCAAGAGATTGGTCACTTAGGCAGTTGTAAGTGCGCGGTTAACAAGGTTACGCCAAAAATAGAATGTTATTTGTGCAAGTTATTTTAAACCATAAATGTATTGAGTTTTATAGGGTTCAAATAACTTTCATGCCAAGTTTGTATAAATATTTTGACAAACATTTAATTTCTAATATAATAATGCCATTTTCTTTGTACGCCATCTTGAAAAAGTGTTCGTGTTCTTGGAAATATTGCTTATCTAATTAACTTGCACAATTGAATTGTATGTATACTAAAATGTAACAATAACTATACTAAAATGAGACAAGTAACGTTCCTCAAGTCTCGGTTAGATTTGTTAATAAGGAAAATAAAAAATAGTATTACAAATATAATGAATGACTGATGTTTTATAAAAACACAAAATGTAAAATTGAATTAACTAAAATGTATGTGTTACGCCGTCGCACGCGTTTCAGTAACAGAACCTATTTTTTTTAACATAAAAACAAGGGCGCAACTTCGCAGTTCACCCATAGTAATGGTTGCATGTTGTAACCCATTAAAAAACGAAACCGAACATACGGTCCTTTTAAATCGGTAAAAGAACTGTACGTCAAATATTTGTGACGTAGTGGTTACCTGGGAATAAAGGACAATTTCACAATGTTAACTTACCTGTTCTTGCTATTATCTTGAATACTAGCTAACTACCCATGGTATGTTGCCCATTGTTCCGCTGTTAACATCACGTCTGTTTTAATAATTTTATTCAAATCGACAAGTGTGCCTATAATAACTTATTTGTATAAAGGGAGACATCCGTGTGTAACTTAAGATTATTGCCATGGAATAGATTTATCTTATCGACTACTATTTTAATCTCTGTATAACTGCATTCAATCTATTCAGAATTAGAAAACCCAGTTGCACATTTTAGGTTAACGATTCTCAACTAAAAACGTGACTGCAGAAATATAGTGATCTGGTTTTAACAAGTATTGTTTGTTTTACATTGACCAGTCTTTTTGTTTTCATTGTTGTTTTCAACCCTTTATTTCCTTTTGGGGAGTCTGTTCTTTTTTTCTTGTAAATCTTTGAATTGTTACTTTTTCGGTTTAGTTTACAAAATGTCTAAAGGATTTAGATTTGTAGATGCAGGTAACGACAGATTTTCTGAATTAAAAGTAATTCGTATGTTAATTAAGGTATTTTTAGATAACATTTATTATTTATTGAGATTTGAGGAATATTACTTTTCATGGAGGGCAAATGCCTAACTAAGTTTATCAAGTATGTTTTAATATTATGAAAAGATTGAATTGAATATTGTTTTGGTAATTTGTAAATGGTAATTGTAATTCAATGCTGGACTTCTTTACTTTGGCCTGTAATCCTTTATTTTACCGTCAATCGAAGAAGTTGGACATTGCATATCATATTTATTATTTTAGTCGTTAATTCCATTGTAACAATGGGCCATCTTATCGCGAAAGGATTTTATACTACAATATTATTGAGAATTTTAAAGTAAAAAATGCGATGAACAGTCGACGTTACATTAAAATCAGATACTTCTTTCGGAGATATGTGTCAAGATAATGTAGAAAGTAAAAACATCTTTCTTTCTTTATATTTAACTGATATTTTTGTGACAGTTCATTATTTTATTATTTCATAGTTTGAAAAATAAAATAATTTATATATTTTTTTGTTTCTGTTATAGGCAACAAGGACGCTATTTATTGGTAATTTAGAAAAAGATGTAACGCAGCAACAGCTCCGAGACAAATTCAAACATTTCGGAAGAATAATTGAGATCGATATAAAGAAGGGAAGTAGTGGAGGAGCAGGATATGCGTTCTGTCAATATGCATCAATTTCAAGCGTCGTGGAAGCCATTCGTGCCATGGATGGCGAAAATGTGGGCGGCTCACGAGTGAAGCTTGGCTTTGGGAAACCTGTTGCCACTACGTGTGTGTGGGTGGATGGTCTTACTGAGCATACAGAGAAGCAGGTAATTACTTAAATAATGTATTCATGAACGTTTTGCTTATTCAGATTCAATATTGAAAAAATTATTCATTCAATATAAATCAAAAATATCAAAAGAGTAGGTAATATCAAATGAGTTGATTTCCGCACAAACCATGTTTTCGGCTACTACATCTACTACTCCTCAGTTAGTAACCACGGGTCTGACAGCTTAGCTCGAGTTTGTTTTACGTTTAACGTGATCTAAACGTTACCGTATTCAGCGTTTTGATTGACCTGCTCCAAAGAACCAACAGATCTGAGCGCCGAACGTTGTAATGTTTCGATCTCGTTAAACGAAAACAAACTCGTACTTAAGCCCTGGTGTACTTTGGTCTGTATTCAAGTATGGTCTAAAAATTAATTTGCACCAGCGCAAATGTACACCCTTGTTATTGGAACAACGTTTGATATAATATTACTAAATCAAACAACGTTTAAGAAAATCATCAGTTAGTATAATATCGTTTGACAGAATTTTCAGTTCATTGAAAATTTATTTGCTTAATTAAAAGGTATTATGCTCATTTGATGTAATGTTCAGATGGTCTATTTTGAACTAGAAAACAGTAAAACTAATTTATTAATTACTTGGAATTGCTTTTAGTAAATCTAAATTTTCTAGCAAAATCTTTTGGTCATCCCGACATATTTGGTTAGGTTTGATTAGAACTGTGACCTTCACAAGGCGCGAGGCGAGCGAGCGTAGTGAGCGGTGCTTTTCAAATCTTTTCATACCATTTAGCTGTTTATATTAAAAATATTAGTTTCATTAAAATTAGTGCATTTGATTTGCAAATTCAGTGTAATGAAATTATGTAGTTCAAATAACTAATTATGCTAAATAAAAATTTACCAAAGAATTATTCTGTCAAAGGAATAATTCTACGAAATGACTTTATTGCAACTAAAATTCGATGAAATGAATTTTGCCGAAACGTTGTTCGACCAAACAAGGTTGAACCCAGTGCAAAGGGATAATTTAGAATTTACCATACAATGTGCACTATTCTGATGATGCATGCTTCCCTATACTTACCTCAAACATGTTGTTTAGGTGTTGAGCGCGGTGTCGCGATGTGGCGGTGCGACGTCAGTGTGCGTGGACCGCGCGGCGGGCGCGGCACTGGTGCACTTCGAGCAGGCCGCGGCCGCCGGGGCCGCGGTCCGCGAGCTGCGCCGTGTTGCCGCCGCCGTCTCCGCCGCCGAGCCCGACCACCCGCGACTCTGTGTAGACTACGCCTCGCGCGAGTGCCAGGTCAGACATAATTCTTTCTGATTCTATTTTGCTTAATAAACCTTCACAAATACTTACTGAACGTCCTTACTACATGTCCCATCAATTTATGTTTAATAGTTAAAGTTAGTTAAGACTATGAAGCTAAAAATTAAAGTCCTCATTAAAGTGTAGAGTAATGAATATTGTAGTAATAGGGTGTATTGAATGATACAGGATGAGCCCTGAATATTTATTTCCCGGACGTATTGTAGGAGGCGTTTTATGAACAATTGGAAAAGCATGGCGGATCGGCGGCGTTGACGGGTTCTGAAAGACTGAGTGGGGATCTTACTACTCGTTATATGCCGCCAACTCGTCATGACCCTGTTCGGTACGTATATTTTTATAGCTAATAAAAAAACGTATTTTGTCTCCATTATTACTGTTATTAACCTATCACGAGATCAATTGATCCGTTATACTAATTCTCAGATTAATTTTTAGGTTTGACGGTACTGGTTCACGATCGAGGGCATCAAGTTACGGTCGTGCATCTTCTAGAACCCCGCGTTATTCTACATTAGAACACTATGATCCGACTGATTACGCTGCAGACCGACGGTACAGGTATATTTATTTACTTAATTTTTTTTTAGAGATTACAATATTGTTTTTAGTGTCGATAGTTAACAACTTTCTCTGTATTTGTTACAGGGTATATGATGAAGTAGGGTCAAGTCCGCAAGCTGAAGAGACACCTTACGAAGAAAGGTTACAGTCAGTTGTGGTATCACCACATCGCGCGCGACGCCACCGCCGCGATTCCAGCCCTGATGACCGAAAACATTCTAAGGTGATTAATACTGATTTTTGCAATAGTTCAGCGTTTGACCATTAATTCGCTCGGTTATGTGAGTGGATCGATTTGGTACTTGCATTTTCGGAGGTATTGAACTATTTGTCTATTCGAATTTGATATATAATTGTTTTTGTATTAAATTGTGTTTCATTTCTTTGTCACAGGAGAGACATCGTAGTGTCGGTACTCGACGCTCGCGCTCGGGATCACGCGGCGGAGAGCGGCACGCCAGTCGGCGCCGGCACCGGCGGCGGCGCGAGGGCTCGGGCTCGCACTCGCGCGCCGGCACGCCGCTGCGGGACGAGCCCGACGCCGCGCCCGTGGAGCCGCGCCGGCCGCCGCGTGAGCGCCCGCCGCTGCCCATGAGCCTGCCGCTGCCCAAGTTCGCCGTGCAGCTCATGCGCAGCGCGCCCTCCGTGCCGCGTCCCGAGCCCGCGCCCGCGCCCGACTCCCCGCCGCGCCCGCCCTCCGCGTCTTCCTCCAGCGGTGGCTCCGCACCGCACTCGCCCTCCTTGGAGGAGCGGATCCGCAGCCTGGACGAAAAGCTCAACGGATCGCGAATGCTCGCTGAAGCGCCGGATCGCACCCGACTTCGACACCGCCTGCTCGACGTAGATATCAACGAAGTGAAACCGTCGGAGGTAGTTCGATCGTTACTAGCGAAACGTTCTGTTTTCGACGAAGATTCCGAGCGACTAGAAGGCGCCGGCCGCGCCCCTAGCCCGGGCAGCAGCCCCCGCAGCCGGCTGGCGGGCGCCACGCCTCGTGCGCTCCGCTACCCGTTTCCGGCACACCCGCCGCCGCCGCGCCGCCCGCCGCGCTACTGCCAGGCTCGCTGGAGCTGGACGCCGAGCTAGCGGAGCACGGCGCGCTGAAGTTGCCTACGAGCCTGTGCCACGAAAGCCGAGGCCGTCCGCGCACTCCGCCAGCTCCTCCGCCGCCGCCTGAACCTGAGACTGAACTCGAACGTGACAATCAGCCCAGTCATAATGACAATTCATCGCAATTCGATAGCGATACAAAACCGATTGAAAGGCACACAGATGGTTATTACTCCGCTGACGGTGGGAACGTCTCATTGATTACATCTGGTGGAACAGAAGATAACGTTGATGGTGAAGACAATGATCGTAGTCGTGACCGTAGTAATTATTCCATAGCGTCAACGAGCCTTACCAAACAAACCATCTCTGTACCCTTTAGTACCGATTGTGGCCAAACTGCGCGCAATGATACTACCCTTCCAAAAAATGATGTTCACCGCCAAGATGATAAAATTAATAGCTCTCTTTCTTTTAATTTGGAAGATAATAGTGCTCGAGAAGTAATGGAAATGTTACTGAAAAGAGTTGAGTGTAATGACTTCCAAAAGTGTGAACCGCAGTTCGATAAAATAGGTAAATACAACAAAGAAACTGTAATTAAAACAGAGCTTCACAAACATGACGAAAGACTAAAGTTAGATAGCGAAAATAAAATGGATCTTTTTTGTCACACTGATAAACACAACAGCAGGGAAATACAAGAAAACCATATCACCAAAGAATTAATCGAATTCGAGATGCAACAAAATAATTTGAACTCAGTTAATTTTATGAAAACAAATATAGAGCTAAATCACGATGTGAAAAGTTCCGAAAAGGTTATCAAAGACAGACATAATCACAATTATCACAACACAAAACTTGAAAAAGAAAATATTCAATTTGATAAGTCATTTGAAAAAGAAAGAAATACCAACTCTTTAGCATTAACCGATAAAAAAATTGATTCTGAAAGAAATCACGATGATCGTGTCAGACTAGACCGCGACAAAATACGACACAATAAAGAAAAATTATTTGACAAAGAAAAGTCTGAGTCTGAAAAGATAAAAAGCAATAAATCTGAAAAACATGCTGATAAGGAAAAGAGGCCGAAGGAAGAACAACATGAAAAAACTCAAAGTGATAAAAACAAAAGTGAAAAAGATGGAGAAAGAAACCAAAAAGATAAAACTGATAAGAACTTGAAAAGCCTAAACATAATGATGAAAAATCGTACAGGCATGATCATCATAAAAAAGATAGAAGCGATAGAGAAAAAAGAAAGGAATCCCAAGACACTGAAAACTCCTCGGTCAAATCAAAGAAAGATGACAAACATAAACACGACAGAACAAAGAAGGACCACGACTCAAGAAGAGAAAGTAAAAAGGAATCTGAGTCCGTTAAAAATCGTAAATCATCTAGAGATGAAACTTCGAGGGAGCTTAGTCGCAAAGATTCTACGGATTCTTCAACATCGAGAGCTTCGCACGAATCTTCCAAACTGAAAGATTTAGAAATTGACTGTAAGGACGATGGAAAATCAAAATTAAAACACATTGAATTATTTGTAAAACATGACAATGATAAAGAACCTAAATCAGATAATAAAGAAGAAAAGGATTCTGGCAATCATAAAATTAAAAGTGATGCAACATCAGAGCACAACAATACAAAATTAAAACCAGATAGTGGTGAAAAACAAAGACACTATTCTGTCGACTCTCCAAGCGTGGACAGTAAACGCAAAGAACGACTTAATTCGTGTTCAAGTTTACCATCAAATATTGGACATAAGCGAAGAATGTCATCACAAGATAGTATTGACATATTCAATGAAGACGTAAAGAAGGGTAGAAATGATTCCAAGATATCTGAAAGAAGGGACTCTAAAGAGTCTCGCTCCGAAAATAGGCATAGAACTACCAAATTCAGCAAAGGCCATTTTGCTAAGATAATTGAAAGCAAAACGAAAGATGATAAAAAGAATCAGGTAAAACCCCCAGATGACACTTATATTGAAAAAAATACTGACCCTAAAGATACTAAAACAGTAGACAAAATTAAATCATCAAAAAAGAGCCACGGTGAAGAAACTGAAGACAAACCAGCCCCTGAAGCAATAAATGAGGGATTACAGAATGATTTAGACTTTTTAGCTACTTTAGAATTACGCTCTAGTGAAGAAGATGAGAGACAAAGAGCCCTTCGAAAAGAAATGAAAGAGAAAAAACGTATACAGCAATTACAACAGATTCAAGAACTTCAGTTACAGCGGGATGCATTACATCCAACTGATTTTATGGGAAAAAGTAAAGATGAGAAGAAACCTAAATGTGACGAGAAAAAGAAAGAAATTGCTCGTGAAAAACGAATGTCAACAGAACGGAAAAGTAGAGAGGACAAAAGTGATAGCAATAAACGTAAAAGCCGTAAACCTGTGCATAGTAGTGATAGTTCTGATTCTGATGAACCTAAAAAGCATTCAATTTTTGATATCATTGATGATGGGCCTACGTATATATCTATGTATGACAAAGTTAAAGCTCGATCATGCAAAAATATGCAAAAGCAAGAGGAAGAAAAGCGCCAAGAAAAAATTAAGGCTAAATTTAGTCAGTTAAAGCAAAGTAGAGCTAAGCGAGAGGAAAAGAAGAGATCTAGCTGGGATGAAGATAGTGACTCTGATCAGGACAGAAAGAAATATTGTTCCATGGACAATTCGTCGGACGATGACATCGTCATTCACACAAAAAGACGTGAAAAGTCACATCGATACGAATATGACTCCAGTAAAGCCGATGAATATTTTGATGGAAACACAAATGAAGAAGATCTTCGTAATAAATTGTCTCGTAAAAATTCAAGAACCCGTATTATGTCCGATACCTCGGATGACGAAGCTTCTAAAAGAAGTGTTAGTAAAAGTCCGACTTTTGGTTTGGATAATTTAAAAAAAGAATTACTCTCCGATTCAGAATCTACACAAAAAAATAAATTAGAGGTAACGAAAGAAACAACCGAAAATATTAAGAAGAATTCCTTATTAAATTTATTCGGGAAAAGTGACAGTGATGATAGTAAAATTAAATTGAACCTTGAAAATGATAATGGCTACAAATCTAATTATGTTAAATCTATGTGTAATGATTTTTCATCTGAAAGTGAATCTACATGTAATAAAAATTCATTAGAAAATCGTAGGAAACACAAGAAAAAGCAGAAAAAACATAAATCAACATATTCCGATGACGAAAAAATCGATAACAGTGACACCAGCTTGCTGGAAGGATACAAACATAAAACCATTGATAAACAACGTAGACACAGCAATAGAAAAGACAAAAGGAAAGAGAAGTTACGAGAGAGTATCGATACGGACGATACTCGTGATGAGAAAAGCAAGATAAAACGAGAGAAGAAATCGTCCAATAACAATTTTGACAGTGTTACCGATACCGTCAGTAATACAATGAAGAAAGACGGAAAAATGGAAGACATTTTTGGGCCCTTAACTGACGAATCAGATGGAGACACTCGAACACACACAGCTCATAAAATGGAGTTTTCTTCACATGAGACTGAATCTAATTTTTCTGCGAATAACCCAGAATATAAATCGAAAGAGAAAGATGACCGACGTAAAAAGGAGAAAAAACGCAAAGAAAATAGATTTTTCAAAGATGATGATAACAGTTTAGACGTTGACGCTGTTAGTAAAGCAATAGAGGCACGTCTTTTTGCTGACGCCTTGATAGACGATGATGGTCGTATCAAAGCAGAAACACTTTCTGAAAGCCTTAATAAATTTGAAAAGAATGAAATTAAATATGCTGAAGGCAATGTAATTAGTGAAATAGTTAAACATGACAAAATAAAAAGAGATTGCAAAGAAAAGAAAAAGAAGAAAAAGAAAAATAGAGAAGACAGACAAAGTCGTAAAGAACACCATAATTATTATCAACAAGAAAAGGTTGACAAAGCAGACCATGATACAACTGAAAATGAGGAAATTTCTACTAATACGCTATTACTTGACATACCTTTACCAAATGATGTACAAACTGTAAATTTTGACAAAGTAGAAAATTGCCATTCGCATCTAGGGCCGCAAAGTTTACCTCGATTAACAGATAGCCCTCCAATTGTTATACAGTCCGACGAAAATACAGATTCTAAAAGTATAGATTCCAGCAACACTATAATAGATGACAATAAAATGGATTATATAGAAAGCAAAGAAATAGAAATTGAAGAAATTCCGATGCCTCCACCTTTTGAAACAATTGTTACTGATATAAGTGAAGTACCATTACCAAAAGATCCTCTGCCTAGCAAACTGAACAATAACACCGAAGATTGTTTCTTATCCAGTCTTAGTAGCGACGGCGACTCTTGTGAAGATGCAGTGCGTAATATTATTTCTTCAGAAAAAGAAGTTGACAAAACTGAAAAGATTGACACAAGTTCAGACATTGTCGAAATTTCACCATGTAAAACTGAGAAAAAATCAGACGAAAAACCTAGAGCTATTATATCTCAAGAGGAGACCGAAGATGCAGTTGCTGCTTTATTGGGTGAAAGTTTTGGAGGTAAAATAAATACATTCTCTAGCTGTTACGAAGAATCTGAAAATAATTCAACACATCAAAATGAAATAGAAATTGCCACAATAGAAAATGAAAATATTCCGGAAGAGGATGCTGAAGAAATGCGACAAGCAGTTCAAAATTTAAATGCCAGTGAAATGGAAATGAAACCAGATACTCCTGTATCAGATAATGACTTGTTATTAATTGATACTGACACTGAAGAAAATGATGAAACAGCTCAGGATGCTATAGAAAAGTTGCCTGTTAACATCATAGCTACCAACCAAACCTTGCATGCAATAACAGATCAAAAGAAAAATTCAGATAGCCCAAATACTACAAATCCTGATACAAAACCAAATCTGGTACCTATTGTTACAACTACTGCGACTGATACAACTGTTAAAGTAAAAGAGACTGATATTAAGATACAATTAACAAAGAGAGAGAACATCCAATTGATTACATCAACTGCAACTCCTGTCATAACCTCGTGGACACCTGCAAACAATAAAGTACAGGAACCACATATCTTAAATATTCAAGGTAGCTCTTTACCAAATAGAGAGAAAATTGAAATGAAACCTACTCATATAACTGCAAATATTGTTCAAATCAAAACTGGTGCTTCAACCCAAAATGTGCAAATAAATAATAATTCAACAAGGCCTATTATGACTCAGCCTCGAGTCACGGCTCCATCATTTCAAGTTATTAATCAAATGATTCGTAGTCAAGCTCCTAATATGCAACCACCGACAATCAAGATTCCAGAGCCTCATGTTTTGTATCAAAAACCACAAGGAATTGTTATTTCACCTCGTATGCCCAATGATCCGAGAATGCAAAGTCCTAAAGCTAGCTCTCAAAGTGAAACAATGACGTCGCCTCGTTTGACAAACATGACTATTTTAAGTACCTCACCACAAAGTTTGACTTCAGCGGGATTGACATCACCTAATGCCATTCCACAAAGATCGCCTGGTCAAGTGACTGTGGTTCGAATGCAACAACCTCCTTTGAGTCCAATTCAAACAATGCATATACAACACGGCGCAAGAACAATGCTGTCACCTAACAGACCCAACTCAGTTTTGGTGCAAACGCAAGGCACGCCAATCCACTTTAACCGCTTGCCTGTCACTCCTGTCTTGACACCGATATCTAAACAAATGAATAATGTAAATAATTTGATTCAGCAAAATAAGGGAATTGGTGTGACTACAAGTCCTTTATTACATCAACAGAAAATAATACCCGGGGATTGTAGAAAGACTGACCAAAGGAATATTCCTGACAATCCCAACGAAAATACTAAAATAATATTATCTCCAACAAGTTTACAACATAGCACGAATCCTACAGTAATGGCTCAAAATCGTTTGATTTCAATGCAAAACGCTATACACGTTAGTAATATGAACACAGTGCATCTCAACAATAAAGTAGTAATTAATACTGTCAGTCAACTAAATGAGAAGAGGGAAAACCAACCTCAGAAAGCAGATAAAATTAATCACATTCCTTTTGGATCAACCCCTATTATACATGTTGCTGCAGTTAATAATGCAACCACTTCTATAATACAAGGTAGCAAGGCTGCTCAGAGTAATATTCAAGAAATCAACACAATCAATAGAAGTCAAGGTTCAAATGTTATTCATTCTTTAGGTTCACAAAGGCTTATTTCGCCAGTCTCTCTGGGAAACGTTTTGAAAATAGACACTAAAAAGGGAGCAGCGTCTGTATTGTCCATGGCAACTATTAGACCGCCATCGATTTTAACTAAATTGGGATTGTGCACGTCGTCGACTAATACAACTACTAGCGTCACTAATGTGTCACCATTATTACTGAAAACTACATGTTCAACAGGTAGATTAAACCCTAAATTTGATACGGATAATAAAATACTAAAACCGTTGGTTTTGCAAAATCACATAAGAGATAGTGCAATAAAAGTAGAAGAAAAATCTGAACCGATTCTTACTACAATTACAGGATGCGAAGAAATTGTGAAAGACAAAAAAGATTTTAATCCAACACCAATGACATCAACTACAGATGATATTTCTAAATGTGAAACAGACTTTGAAGAATTATTGAAAGATACTACAAATGAAATAAAAATAAGCAATGATCCTGATAAGAAACTTGAAATAAATGTTGGTAAAACAGTTACATTAATTACGACCAGTAAAGATACCCACGACACACCTGTATCAAAAAGTATGGATGGTGTGAAAATTGAAAATATAAATATAAACCAAACTTCATTCACACCGATAGCCGTCAAAAATGAACAAGAAGACATCAATAGTAATGAATCTAAGGAAATCTTTAATAAAATTTTATCCCGACTTGATAAAGAATCAAATCAGGCAACAATTCCTACTGAGCCAGAAATAAAGAAAGAAGGCACTGATCAACCCAGTAACGATATCAATAATGTAACTCCATCACAGGGCGGAAACGAATTATTAAAACTTGACAGCATTAATAAAACTGATGAATCTAACTTCCATAATTTGTTGTGTGAAGACTCTAAAGTACCTAGCCCAATAAAAAATGATGAAAATGATTCCTGGAGTGGTAAAGATGTGAACTTGGAATCCGTTATAAAAAAGGTTGATTCTCTGTGTAATGACAATGTTGAAATACCTAAAAAAACTGAAGTCAATGATGTTGACAATGAGATGGAAGTTGACACCAACAATTCAGAAAAGATCATCAATCAAACACCTCATATTATGTCAACAACGTCTATAACTCAAGTAGATAATATCATTGAGAATAAACCTGCAGAAGAGAGCATAGTTGAAAAAATGACACCTGGTACAACTGCTAAAAGAGGTGGCCGTAACGTAAGAGGCCGAAAGATTGATAAAAACCAAGATAGGGTACAGACTCGTCAGATTTCTAAACCTACGAGAGGAACTACAACTAAACGTGGCAGAGGTAGAGCTAAAGTAGATAAAAAAATTAAAACCATTGTTACCACAAGTGGCAATGCGATGCCTGGAGACGTCTACGATTTCCATGAAGATTCTGGTGATGAATCCGCTTCATCACCAAATAAAACCGAACGCCCTAGGTTGATTTTAACAATTAAAAGCCCAAACTCCGCACATTCTTCCGTCACAGCAACTTCTACTCTCAGTATAGCTCAAAAAGAACAGATCAAGTTAAATGACAAAAATAAGGATGAGAAAAATGAAGAGTTTGTTTCACCATCACCAAACACTCGCAAATCTCGGAGGCTTCAAGAGAAAGACGTTCAGAGGAGCACGGTTGACGATGTAATTGAAGACGTTATAAAAGGTCCTAGAGCTGGAAAAGATTCAAATAAAAAGAGGCCTACGAGACAAGCTGCTGTAAAAGCTAATCAAGAGAAGGTTTCTGACACTCGTAAATCACCTCGGGGCGCTAAAAGAACTAGGGATCGGAGTCTATCGGACGCCTCTGTCGACAGTGGCGATGAACGGAGCCTTAGAGATTGTATGCGAGACCCAAAAACTCCACGTCTCGACGAACAAACTCCCGAACCCGAGCCTGAACCAGCTACTGCCCCAAGAAGTGCCCCGCCTGCAGCACAGGTTGCACCCACAGTCGTCGGACCTCAACCTGCGCCGGCCCAGCCACCCGTACACTCTGCGCCGGTCGTACCACTCGCACCCGCCGCGGCACATGTACCTCATGTACCCCAAGTACCCCACGTGCCCCACGTACCCCACGTACCCCACGTACCCCACGTGCCCCACGTGCCTCACGTACCCCACGCGCCCCATGTGTCCCACGCGCCCAACGCGAACCTTACGCCGCTCGCTGCTCATGCGCCACATGCTCCACAAGCCCCACAAGCGCCACCTACTACTTCTACACCAATAACCAAACCACCAAAAAAGATGATTTCGGAGATCAGCGCCAAGCTAGCGGGAGCTTTCGAAGCGGTCGCGAGCCACAGTTCGAACGCGTGTGTGGCGCCGCCGTCGCCCGCTTCGCCCTTGGCCAGAGCGGAGGCGAGGCGGCGCGTGCGCGGCGGCCGGTCGACGGCGTGCCGGGCGCCGCCGTGCCGGTGGGCGGCTCAGAGGCCACAGAGGCGCGCGTGCAGTCGCCCGCGTTGCCGCACCGGCCGCCGGCCGCGGCCACGCCGGCGGCGCTGCGGCCGCTGGCGCGCGGGTTGGCGCGGCGCGTGGACGAGCGCGCGGTGCAGTACGCGGCCACGCCGAGCCTGCCGCGCGGCGCGCACCACCCGCCCGACCTGCAGCTCAAGCAGGTCGCCGTCGTTGGCCCGCAGCCGCACCACGTCGCACACCATCCTGGTCAGTTCACGCGCACTATAATATTTACACTTCATGTCAATAAAACGGAAAGATTTTCCATAGAATCAAACTTCCTACTTCGTCACTTCTGCCACTCAAACATTATGCTAAGTTAATAGAGCCGTAGAGGAAAATTTACTTAGGTGATTTTTGTTTTGAATTAGTGCTGGTATAATCCAGGTCACGTTTACAACGAGTGAAATTGTAAAAAAAAAGTTAAAGAAGAGATTTCACAGATTAAAACACTTTGCTGGAAATTCGTAGAGTTGTGGATCGGCTTGTAGTACGCAACACTAATAAAAATTATATTTTTTGTTTTAGGCGCTGCTTCTAGAGTTACAATTGCAAGTGTGCCAGCACTTAGTCCTCAAGGGCAGATTGGAATGGTAATTATTTTTTTATTAAATAATTAGTAGTCAATCTTCAAAGTGTATATGTTTTAATTTTGTTCATGCCGTCTGGAAGTCTGCTGATTTAGTGGGAAGTCCTCCGCCTGCACATCAACAAACTTCTCCGGTTACTTCGGTATACCACAATGTAATGAAATAGCTTTGAAGAAAAAAAAACCAAGTAGTTTGTTGTTCGTTTTGACTTGAAACGACGTAGTCATTAGGTGTTATTTTTACAGGGCGATGCGATGTATCCTCACTTCTCACATCAACACTATCAAATGTACCAACAACATTTTCGCGCCACGCAGCATGAGAATCGGGCGACACCTTCACCATATACTCGGTAATATTTGATGTTTTATATTTCAATCTATTTGTTTCTTAATAACATGTGTGTGAATTTGACTTTTGGTTTGAAGGATTTTGTTATTTAAAAGGTTATTTAATGGTAGAAGCAAATAGCAATAAATATTTATCATAGTGGTAGCAATATCCCACTAGCGTTTTTGACAGGGCGATAGTAGGTATGTTACGACGAGGTATAAAGGTTATCGTGCCCCGGCAGGTCGCTGGAGGCGGAGGGCTGCGAGGCGGCCACTCCCCCGCTGGAGCTGCGGCGCGCCGCCACCGCGCGCGTGCCCGCCGACCTGTACCGCGACGTGGTGCGGCGCGCGCCGCCCGCGCTGCCTGCCGCCGTACCGTACGGGCGCTCGCCGCCGCCCGCGCACGCGTCAGCGCGGCCGCAGCTGCCGCCGGCGCGGCGCCGCCCGCGCCGGGCCCGCCGCACGCGTCGCAGGTGCCGCGCGAGGCCGACTCGCTGCAGATGCTGCTTCGGGTCAGTGCACCGCCACCACTCACTGCTCGCCCATCGCTTCGCCCTTGGAACGGCCCGGCTCATAGCATTTCTCATGTTTCAGCGCTACCCGGTGATGTGGCAGGGTTTGCTGGCGTTAAAAAACGATTCTGCTGCCGTTCAAATGCACTTTGTGGGCGGCAACCCCGGCGTAGCGGGCGACACGTTATCGCGACACGCAGACGGCTCCACGCCGCTACTGCGGATCGCTCAGCGTATGCGATTAGAACAACCGCAACTGGAGCAAGTACATCGCAAGATGAAGGTAACACGACGATCCTGACTTTTGTATATAATAATATCTCCGACAGCAACGTAGTAATACTTTTCCTTATACATATTTTAATTTCCAGATGGAGAACGAGCACTGCATGCTTTTAGCCTTGCCGTGTGGTCGCGATCACATGGACGTATTACAGCAGTCGACAAATCTGACCGCAGGATTTATTACTTATCTACAGAAGAAACAAGCTGCAGGAATTGTTAACATTGCACCTCCCGGACACCACCAGGTATGTAAATAACAAAACATTAGCATATTACCGTACTTAGAGGCCAAAATAACCAAATTCAATACGATTAAATTAGACATGTACACAATCAGGCACTTCTGGCGCATTTATATTTAATAAATGAATCGGTACTTCAAATAAATCCGAATTTAAACCTGTTACTACAATATATGATGTCTTTAATTATATTTCTTTCTTTTATAGGCTATGTTTACCGTTCATATCTTCCCGTCTTGCGAATTTGCCAACGAGAACTTAAACCGCATTGCACCAGACCTGATGCATCGTGTTGCAGACATCGCACATTTACTTATTGTCATAGCTACCGTTTGAGGTATGCTACATACTTATCTATTTAACAAGCTAATTTTTATGCATACGACATGCTTGTGGACCTCTTGTCCTGATGACCTTATGGACAGACTCTGGATTTGACACGTTATTCTTAAATCTATAATATGGCTTCAATATTATGTGGATAAAGACGACGTCATCGATATAGTCGATTCGATTTTAAGAAAGCATTGTAAATACGGCCAGGTTGTGAAATTTTTATCTTCATTTTTATCGTAGCAATAGATCGACCTGGTAGAATAATTATAATGAAAAATAGATTTCTCGTCATCTTCACGATGGCAAGAGTCTGTAGGAATTGAGTTGTAATACCTCTGAGAAAGCGAACTCTCTTTGTGGTAATGTCAGTTTATTTATTGTAATCGCGTAAAGTGGCGCGGGCCCCCCACGCGCCTGTATAAAGTCTCACATAGATAAGCAGCCGTCATTTATTTAAGTGCTAGTTTGTAAGTCATAGCTTATTTGTAAAATACTTTTGTTATGGTCGACTGGGTTCGACGATATTCGGAGTTTAAATTTTTAAAAAATAAAGATAGATGGCAAAGTCAGTTGATAAAGTATATTTAATTTTGGGTTCCGATTAGATGAGTGGCAATCTATCGAGCATTTTTATTGTTAGTGTAAATTGTTATTTTGTTTTAAGCGAATTAGGTCTAAAATAATTTAAATTCTGTAAATATCGAATCTATCCGTACTAAAGTTGATTTCGCTTAGGTCATTACGGTAGGTAATGGAAAACTCATGAATACTGGGTCGAATGATAACTGTTTACATGTAAAAACATAATTAAGTAATTAAGTTATATAGTAAGGGAAAATACATGTGGAAAATAAACTGTGATTCTGACTTTTTAATGTAGACTGTAGGTAGCCCTATTTTATGGAGCATAGAGTGCAGTGTGCGATTAAGTGAAAGCACGCCAGTGGCGCAAATGGCCTCGCCTTTAGCGATATCAGAATTAATATTCAATAATGTTGAAAGTAATTTTTCTAATATTGTGTACAACAATGTGGAATGGTTATTGTTCGGCGTTAAACTAGAACTGCATTGTTGATACGCACTGTCGTGGTCAGGGATACGCATCTTATGAATGTCCAAATTATTAAATCACAATAGTTCACCGGATTTTGTATTGTTTTACTTTAATACCGAATGCGTGTGTCAATACGACTATACGGTATATCCAAATGTCAGATTATGTTATCAATTAATTGTTTTTTTTTCTATAATTTTAATCATAAAAGACTTTGCATACGTATTAAAAATTTCATTCAAATTCAAGTATAAAATAAAGATTTCTGAACACAATGTAGGTGATATGTATCCGAATATCGCCATTTAAAATATACAGACAATCCCAGCGATTATAGTTTGTTTATCAGCTTGGTTTCTTACTTTGTGACGGTAAAAGCGTCGTGTATCCAAAGAACTGAGGGCCTAGTACGAGTTTGGTTTCCATTTAAAAATGCTACTGCGCTTAGCCCTCTGATTGGTTGATTCGTTGAAGCAGGCCAATCAGAGCGTCGAACGCGGACACATTTCGATCTCTTTAAACGTAAATCAAACTCGTCCTAAGCTGTACTCTCTACTGTTACAAAGTGAGAAACAACTCGCGATGCGTGGCGATGTTCAAACAGACGAATGCGTGGTACTGTAGTCATATTTACATTAAATTACTCACTTGACATTCCCATGGGATTTAGGAGATTCTAAACATTCATGATCAGTGTTTTTAATAGGTATGTTGCTGACTTTGATTTTTTTTACAACGGTTTCATAAATTACTTCTGGCTCTTACTTTTAAGTGGTTTATGAAACTGTTCCCTAACAAAATTTGACAAGTGCGAGTTTAAATACTGAGACGCAGCCAAATGTTTTTGATAAGGATGACATGAGTGTTTGTCTGCAGTTTCATATTATAGTATTTTATTTACATTCATATCATAAAGTTCTGATAAAGAAAAATGTCTAAAAGTAAAGAACACAATTCGTATACACTTTGGTTGATTGAAAGTGTGTATAAATAACATTCTGGTAAGATAATTGTATTATAAAATCATACATTTTTCAGTTTATATCTTTTTATTGAGAGCTTTATGGTTCAGTGTAGAGAAAATTGTTTATTTGTATGTTCTTTTTTCGATTCAAGTAAATTATGATAAAGAATAGAATGAGGGTCGCGCATTCTTACGGTTTGGATGGTAAGGTGGTGCGGTGCGCCGTGCCTGCCACACAGTGTATCGGGATCTCATTGCTGCTTTAATTGCGGGCCGCCGCTCAGGTTATTCTCTACTTGTACTCGCCATCCTCATTTGCCGCTGTTTATTCGCTTTTTACAATCGGCGATTCTTGGAAGGGTTATTGACAGTGCGTCGTAATAAAAAGTTTGACATGATAACTTTCCGATAATTTAAACTAACAATATTGTACTTCTCATAATTTAAGTTGTAGTGGTAGCGCCATTCTGATTCGATTAGCAGGCATCTTGCAAAACTTGCATTATTATTATAGTTAAGATAATGGTGCGACTGTGCTGTCGTACGTAAAATAAAGTACAAAATATTTTATGTATTGTAATTTTATAAAGTACGATATAAATTTATAGCACAGGTAATGTTATTACGTATATTCTTTTTAAGGTTTATAACTAGAATGTATAAAATATTAATAATTGTATTGTTTGTCATATTTCCGTCGCAAACAGTTCTTAACTTGGCTAGGAGGAACACTAACGAACTCATCACTTCGTCCATTAATTTTAAAATATCTATAATTTTACTAGCAAGCAGATGCCCAATGATGTACACTCTTAAAATCTTATTTGAACTCCTTATGAAGGAGGTTAATGTAAATAAGTCTTCGTGAATTATAGTGATATAATATGACGGTATTTAGACACGCTATTGAAAA